AGGCCGAAAGCGAGGGGACTAGAGGCGGGAAGCACAAGGAATGCGGGGGGTAGCAAGGGAGAATGAGGCAGGAAGCAAGGGGGACGCGGCTGTGAAGCAAGGGGGAATGAGGGAGGTAGCAAGTGAGTATGAGGCCCGAAGCAAGGGGGAATGAGGCCTGAAGCAAGGGGAAATGGGGAGGGTATCAAGGGAGAATGAGGAGGGTAGCAGTGAAGAATGGGGTGGGAAGCAAGGGGGAATGGGGTGGGTAGCAAGGGGGGATGAGGCCGGAAGCGAGGGGACATGTGGCAGGAAGCAGAGGTAATGAGGCGGGAAGCAGGAGGGGGTGAGGCGGGTACGTGGGAGGAATAAGTGTGTGAGTGAAGAACATGGAAGCGGGTATCATGGGGGAATGTGGACAAGATCAATACGGAATTGTTTGTTCATCCGTCCTGCCAGCTTGATATGCCAACAAACATGACACAAAGCGCAATGGAGAGGCCTTGAATCAGTCCTGCATGACTTGACAACAAGTGTGGCCAAATGAGAGTGTTGGCCACAACCAGTCCTCCATGTCTAGAGAACACTACCCGTAGGGAATTGTTTGTCACTGGCGTTCCTGCTTGACATGTATACAAACAATACACAATGGGTCTGTGTGATGCTGCAAAACATACCTGCATGTCGCCACAACTCTAGTGGGTAGAACAGCAGGGGTTTCTCAACTCCGTTCCAGCATGAACCTAGAACATACAACACAGCATGGTCTTGGGTCCCTGCATAAAGGTTGCCCTGTATGGCATGATAGCAGCCATGCCCCATACAGGGAGTTTGTGTCTGGCTCTATTACCGTATTATTGCACCTCAATTGGCATGAGAGGAGACATGCCCATACGCGTTGCATAACGACCAGGCAGCAATCAAATAATGCGTACTTACTAATCATTCGATGTATCAGAATGACTGCTCCACCGCAGATCGTTATGTGCATGTTCTGTGAAGGTGGTGTTTGGTTTTACACTGTTATGTTGCATACTTGACACTATGCTAATGGGTTAGGGGGACACCTATTACGAGTGCAATTGAGTGAGCGAACGAGGATTGCACTATCGAGAAAAAGGTACAACTTAGCGAAGGATTGCTATTAACAATGCACTATTTTCCTAAATAAGACAAGTGCATGCAGTTTCCTACTCTATCTAGTCTAGTGCACGGGCTTGTCTATGTAGTACACCTCCTCCACATCCTCATCGTCCGACAGGAATGGACTGTCCTCCACTTCCTCCTCCCCCACAATCTCTTGATCGTCGTCAAAGGCCTGTTCCACTTCATCGTCCTCCTCCTCCTCCTCCTCATCCTCATTCTCCCAGGCATTTTGAGCAGCCACATCTTCACCCTCCTTCTGCTTCCCTTTCCTCTCCCTCTCTGCTACAGCCAGCTTCAAGCTCTTCGCAGGGCGCCTAGTACGCAGGGACCTCCACACCTCCAGTGCCTCCGGCCAGTCGATCTCATACTTGAGGAGCGATATCTGCATCAGCTCCCCCAGAGGCGCGTTGCACAGCGCTCCTCGCGCCCAGGACTTGATGACGTTTTGCCTGGAGAACCCCCTCTCGCACTCCACGGTGGAGAGAGGGAGCACAGCCAGCGCCTGCCACAGCATGATGAGGTTGGGCCATCTCCTGCCAGGCACATGCGACACAACGGAATTAGTTAGCAATCTACAAGATTGTAAAACCCATGGACGCAGAGTAAAGGCTACCTCTTGGATTCTGCGCTCCCAAGGAAGTTGGACAGGCCCTGGGTGAAGCTCTCCATCTCATGGTGTGCCTCCATGATCGCGCTGAAGGTTGGAAGCTCCCTCTCTGCTACTTTGATGTCGAATCCCGGCAGCTTGTTGCGGAACAACTTGCTGCACCCGTTCAGCCACTCCTTACACTTCTTCTCTTGCTGGGCCTTGATCTTCGGCCACTTGCCCGCCCGGAACAGCTTCGTCGGCCCCAGCTTCCCAAGTTCATCCAGTCGGTTGGTGAGGTTGTCCACGCAGTCACGGGCGAATATGTAGCTTAGCTTCACGCAGTCTACGTAGGTGCTTCCGTGTTTGTGCCCCTTCAGCTTCCGCTCATGCATGGTGTACAGGTGGTTGATAGGGCGCCCAGCACCGTCCACGCCGCGCACCCGGACCTGCTTGCCTCCACCCTCCTTGTGGACTTTGTGGAAGTTCACCAGCCAGCTCTTCCCTCCGAGCTCGTAAGCTTTCTCTGGCGTCAAGTAGCGCTCCACCAGGTCACTCGTTGTGGACTCGATCATCTTCGCAATCTCTGTCACGTCCAGCTGTGGCAGAGCAGGGGTAGACAAAAGGGAGAAGGATGAGCAACAGTGCAGTTACGAACCTCACGTAGCAACATCATACAAACATGCGACCTCACCTCTCGTCTCTGGAAGCAGCGGTTGAGGTCGTTCATGTCCGCCAAGATGTCGGCCAAGAAAAACAAGCAGAACTGAAACTTGTAGCAGGTAACAGTCTCGTACGCCTTGTGATTGTGCTCCCAGAGCAGAACGATGCAAGCGCCGAGGACCTTGCACAGCCTGGCCACCGCATCTCCTCGAGACAGCCACCGCACCGTGTGTATGCCTTGGACTTCCAGGTTGGTCTTGTAAATCACACGCTGCAGGTACTTGAACCGCTGACTCCACACGCTGGAGTTTCCGAGCAGAGTTGCCACAGTGCGCACCACCTTGTCGACCATGTCGAGATCCGGGTTTGACTCAGCGGCGTCCTTCACAGCCAACGCCTCACTGTGTAAAGCAGAGAACAAATATTATGGTTTGTTAGTAAACCCTTTGAACGAGAGAAAAATGGGACAATGAAGGCACGTAATGGAAATAACACACTAGTGAACAAAGGAACGTTGGCTGCTGGTATGGGGAGGGAAGGGGAGGTTGGAGATGGCGGGAGCACGAAACCACCGCGCCGCGATTCCACGAACTTGATGGCAACATTCCTAGATGAATTCGTCCTTGCATTCAAGGCCGAATTCATTCAAGGACTCCTTGGCTGCCACCGCATGCTGTCTACAGGCCATTCTAGCCAATGGCAGATACATGCTGTGCACTGTGCGGTGCGCGTGGCTGCACCGTCTCATTGAGTTGGCTGCGTTGGCGTGGTTGCCAGCTGTGATGTACAGCACGTAAGTGGTGTCCTTTGTCATTATTACGCATACTCTGCATGGACAGAGTCGGCATGTACACTACCCTGAGCCTAGTTACAAGAATTCAGAGTCCGTTAAGTATCTACTCTGATAGCACCAGAGTTCACAAAATACACAACCTGTGTTTGGACGGACCACCAAGTCGTAAGCCAGTAATCACCCTGAAATCAGGGTAATTACCCTGATATCGTCAGCCCTCGCCGTGAGGTCGGGGTGCGACGTGCGAAAGTGGCGGGCGGATTGTCGATGCGAGTGGTAACGGTGCTGACTGAGGTGCTACAGTGATGGACGCGTTTAGCAGGGATGCGAAGTAAGGAAAACGAGATTTTGCTTACAACTGCATAACCCCCTAATTCCACTCTTAACATGTAGGTACACCACACTATTGAGGCTTTGCAAACTAATGTGCCATTACGTGCCCCGCCCTGCGCCATTCCACTTGACTCCACGCTATGCCACGTACGCGAACCTCCCTGATTTGCGAACCAGTCGCAACCACACACAAGGAACTTTTGAGTCTGCGTTTTTATCGCAGACGTGCCGCAACGGCTTCGTGTCGACCTGTCGCATCGCTGTACGACTTGCTGCGATCGAGCGTCGCCGTTTCTCCGCAGACCCTATGTGACCCTTGACGTGCCAGCTTGTGTAGGTTTGTGTGGCACGCGAGGCACTTATTTGTAAACAGTACGACAACCCGGGCAGAATAATTATGACCCTCGCGAACCCAGATACAGTAGCGCATTTGACTGTCGGGTTTAACAAAAAAAAGCCCACCCTGCCGCTTGTGGACTGATACTCAATTAAGCACGTTAGGTCCCACGAAATCTTAACACGGCAGTGCTGCATTTTTTTCCTTTATACCCCTCAACCCTCAGGCGATTGGTTGAGGGCGGAAATGGGGGACCTGGCAGTCGCAACGTGCACCATAGCAGGAAACACTCAAACCCTCATCACCTCCGTGCTCCCCTTGCATGCCTCCAGATGTGACGATCGCCTGCTCTAGGCCCCAGACTTTGCCTCGTCCCTCACCCTCCTCAACCAATTTCTTATGCTTGTAGACTGCTGTCAGGTTCTAGGCGTTAGCACAACCCGCAACCTCATAGTACTGCGTGAATGGAAAGCTAGACATGGTAACAAGGAAATCAGACAATGAAGGGGCCCGAGGGGGCGATCGTACTGGCTGAATCGACTAAAACCCCCGACGAAACAAACTTTGGCGAGTTAGTAACAGCAGATAAGACGGCCGAGCTCGTAATCGAGTATCGCAAAAATAATGCGTCGACGTCGCGAGATGTTGTTGGGGCCAGACGTGTCTCGTCATCCGGTGACGAATCGAATAGCGACTGCGAGGTGGAGCCATACGCAAACAAGGGCATATCATCCCCTTCGAAACCAAGGGATAAGCGCGTGAAGCGCTTAGATGATCTCGTTCCCAAAGGCGGCCAGAAAGGTATGTGTTTATGGTCGCAGATGCGGAATATTCTACTTGTATGCATGAATTGATGCTTGTAGTCGTGTCTGACCTGTTGGAGGTTATCGTCTCTCCAATTGTGTTTCCGCATCAGCGATAGCGGACAAGCGAGACAACCGGGGGGGCTGTAAGCACCGTCCAAGAAAAAGAGGCACTCGTTCACATCGTGAGGAAACGCCTGCGTGTGAAGGCGACGAGGAGGGCAAAGACGGGGGACCTGACAGCTTAGGTACGCTGTGGGTGTGATATCGACGCTTTATATTTTGCACGTTACTCATAACAATGACGCCGCATGTCATGCTGCAACTCCCTCTATATTGTTTATATCTTATGTACCTGTCATGTCCGCCTTCGCAGATGGGACGGCAGGCCAACGCGCTCGTGGTGGCGGAAAGCGCAACGGCGGCAGGGCTGCCGCGGCCAAGGGCGGTCCCTCGGGCAGGCAGTCGCAGGATGCGGATGGAGGCGACGAGGGGGATCATGCCGAGCCGGAAGCTCGTGGTGGCGGAAAGCGCACCGGCGGCAGGGCTGCCGCGACCAAGGGCGGTCCCTCGGACTCGCAGGATGCGGATGGTGGCGACGAGAAGGATCATGCCGAGCCGGAAGCTACTGGTGGCGGCATACGCAACGGCGGCAGGGCTGCCGCGGCTAAGGGCGGTCCCACGGGCAGGCAGTCGAAGGATGCAGATGGTGGCGACGAGGGGGATCATGCCAAGCAGGAAGCTCGTGGTGGCGGCATGCGCAACGGCGGTAGGGCTGCCGCGGCCAAGGCCGGTCCCTCGGGCTCACAGGATGCGGATGGTGGCGACGATAAGGATCATGCCGAGCCGGAAGCTCGTGGTGGCAGCATGCGCAACGGCGGCAGGGCTGCCGCGGCTAAGGGCGGTCCCTCGGGCAGGCAGACGCAGGATGCGGATGGTGGCGACGAGAAGGATCATGCCGTGCCTGCATGCCGTGGCGTTAACGATCATGATGAGGACGAGCCAGCAGCTGTGACTGATGGGAAAGGTGGACGTGAAGCTGTGATTCCCTACCAACGGCGCAAGGCTGTGGATCTGGGCAGTTGCGACCATAAGGCGAGACAAGCTCGGCGCGGCCCCAATGTGCACGTTTTGAGCTCGTCTGGTTCCGAGGAAGATTCGAGCGACAGTGAGTCGGGCAGCTCATCCGGGAGTGAGGAGGTATACGAGGACGAGGTTGAGGAGGAGGAGGACGAGGATGATGAGGAGTTGGAGCCGGAGAGCGAGGATGGGGAGGAGGCTCGGCCTTTGCAGAGGAGGAGTGTGAGGAAGCTCAAAAAGGGCAATGCTAAGCAAAAGTCGGAGAGGGGACGGGTAAAGATCTGTAAACAGAGTGTGCGTCGTGCCAAACCACAAGGCAAGCGCCAGAGACCTTGATTCGAAGCTAAAATAGTGGGTGTGCGTAGCAAGGCGAAGCGGGAGTTGAATTTTTACGAATCAATGGGGAGACGATGTCCATCAAGCTCTCATGAACGGCAAGCCGCGGACCCGTACGCTGCGTTACGCGATCCGAGGGGTTCGGCTGGGAAGGGAGATCAGATGGCTTGGGGGTCAGCGCGGTTTGGCAAAGAAACGACGGACCCGCCCCCCAACCATATGGGGGGTCGCGCGGTTCATGTGAAGAACAAGGGGGCAACGAAGTGGCACGAACCCTCGGTAGCTGCAGCAGCGAATGACGGTCTGGGAGGTGTGTGGGCGAATGCCTTGGGTGAATGTGGCGGCAGTGTGGAAGGCTCCATGTGGGATATACGGGAGAGCAGGGGAGAAGGGGGGGACGAGAAAATGGATCCAGCGACTAAGGAGGGGAGGGGAGAGAGCATGGGCACACCTGGCGCATCCAGTCGGCCGGATGTGGCTGGCGGCAGGACTGTGGAGCAGCTCATGCGAGAGCTTGCCCAGCGGGATCGCGAAATCGCTGCACTCAAGGCAAGGCCACGATCAAAAGGAGCTGTCAAGCCCTGCACCCCTCCATCTAGGCCTCCTCCTCTAGCATCTCTGTCCAGCGGCCCATCTATAGGGGGCCTCGATCCAGACCTGGCGCCAAAAAGCCCAGCGACGGTAGACGTAGCGGTCCGTCGAACGCGTGGGATGCCCACACCCAAGCTGCTGAAGGTGAGATTGTTTTAGTGTTAAACAATGTGTGGCATGGGGCTCAGTGATAGCTGCAGCTCTCTCTCTCAACCCCTCTTGCTGCTGGTAAGCGTGTTTGTGGCATTATGCGCAGTGATAGTGGCATGTCTGCAGTGGGATAGGCATTCCCAGTACGCCTCGCTTCAGGGACGTGGCGCTGAGCATACGATGCTCTCACATTCTGCCCCCGACCCAGAGCTCACCATAGCAGTTATCCATCCTCCATTGGCCCCTCTCTCCCATCCCTTCCCACCCTAAACCAGAGCCCCTGTTCATGGTGCTGGTGCTGGTGTGGGTGGCACGCGGCGCAAGGATAGCTCATTGTGTCAGTAATCCTTCCTATCCCTCCACCCTCTCTCCCATCCCTCGCCTAGCTCTTCTAGAGCCCCTGTTCCTGGTGCTGGTGGTGGTGTGGGTGTCATGCGGCGGAGGGATAGCTAAGCATAGCAGTCATCCTTTATCTCACTCCCCGCTCTCTCCCATCCCTCCCCTCCCTCTGCGAGAGCCCATGTTCATGGTGCTGGGTGTGGTGTGGAATACATGTCGTGTGGCGGAGGATAGCTAAGCATAGCAGTCATCCTTCATCTCACTCCCCTCTCTCTCCCATCCCTCCCCGCCCTCTGCGAGAGCCCCTGTTCATGGTGCTGGGGGTGGTGTGGGTGTCATGCGGCGGAGGGAATAGAGGAAGCCGTATCCGTCAATCCCACGCGGCCCCCTTTCTGTCCGCCGCTCCTCCCTCCCCTCTCTATCCCGTCCCTCTCCCTCCTCGTCCAGAGCCACTGTAAAAGGTGCTGCTGGTCACGCGTGTGGCATGCAACGTAGCGTGCAGGGGGGTGGCTGCAGTGGAAGTTGAGACTCCTCGTACGAGGAGAACATGGACCCTCGTGCTGGGCGTACGGTGCCCTCTCAATGTGCTTACTCTACCGTCTTTCGCTCTGACTATTTTATCCCCCCTCTCTCCCCTCTCACTCGTGCATCGCTCCCCTACCTCAACCAGAGCTCCTGTTCATGGTGCTGGTGGTGGGGTGGGTGTCATGTGGCGGAGTGATCGTAAAGCGCAGCAGTTATCCTTCCCATCCCTCCCCCCTCTCTCCCATCCCTCCCCTCCCTCTGCGAGAGCCCATGTTCATGGTGCTGGGGGTGGTGTGGGTGTCATGCGGCGGAGGGATAGCTAAGCATAGCAGTCATCCTTTATCTCACTCCCCGCTCTCTCCCATCCCTCCCCTCCCTCTGCGAGAGCCCATGTTCATGGTGCTGGGTGTGGTGTGGAATACATGTCGTGTGGCGGAGGATAGCTAAGCATAGCAGTCATCTTTCATCTCACTCCCCTCTCTCTCCCATCCCTCCCCGCCCTCTACGAGAGCCCCTGTTCATGGTGCTGGGGGTGGTGTGGGTGTCATGCGGCGGAGGGAATAGAGGAAGCCGTATCCGTCAATCCCACGCGGCCCCCTTTCTGTCCGCCGCTCCTCCCTCCCCTCTCTATCCCGTCCCTCTCCCTCCTCGTCCAGAGCCACTGTAAAAGGTGCTGCTGGTCAAGCGTGTGGCATGCGGCGTAGCGTGCAGGGGGGTGGCTGCAGTGGAAGTTGAGACTCCTCGTACGAGGAGAAGATGGACCCTCGCGCTGGGCGTACGGTGCCCTCTCAATGTGCCTACTCTCCCGTCTTTCGCTCTGACTATTGTATCCCCCCTCTCTCCCCTCTCACTCGTGCATCGCTCCCCTACCTCAACCAGAGCTCCTGTTCATGGTGCTGGTGGTGGGGTGGGTGTCATGTGGCGGAGTGATCGTAAAGCGCAGCAGTTATCCTTCCCATCCCTCCCCCCTCTCTCCCATCCCTCCCCTCCCTCTACGAGAGCCCATGTTCATGGTGCTGGGGGTGGTGTGGGTGTCATGCGGCGGAGGGATAGCTAAGCATAGCAGTCATCCTTTATCTCACTCCCCGCTCTCTCCCATCCCTCCCCTCCCTCTGCGAGAGCCCATGTTCATGGTGCTGGGTGTGGTGTGGAATACATGTCGTGTGGCGGAGGATAGCTAAGCATAGCAGTCATCCTTCATCTCACTCCCCTCTCTCTCCCATCCCTCCCTGCCCTCTGCGAGAGCCCCTGTTCATGGTGCTGGGGGTGGTGTGGGTGTCATGCGGCGGAGGGAATAGAGGAAGCCGTATCCGTCAATCCCACGCAGCCCCCTTTCTGTCCGCCGCTCCTCCCTCCCCTCTCTATCCCGCCCCTCTCCCTCGTCGTCCAGAGCCACTGTAAAAGGTGCTGCTGGTCACGCGTGTGGCATGCGGCGTAGCGTGCAGGGGGGTGGCTGCAGTGGAAGTTGAGACTCCTCGTACGAGGAGAACATGGACCCTCGCGCTGGGCGAACGGTGCCCTCTCAATGTGCCTACTCTCCCGTCTTTCGCTCTGACTATTTTATCCCCCCTCTCTCCCCTCTCACTCGTGCATCGCTCCCCTACCTCAACCAGAGCTCCTGTGCATGGTGCTGGTGGTGGGGTGGGTGTCATGTGGCGGAGTGATCGTAAATCGCAGCAGTTATCCTTCCCATCCCTCCCCTCCCTCTGCGAGAGCCCATGTTCATGGTGTTGGGGGTGGTGTGGGTGTCATGCGGCGGAGGGATAGCTAAGCATAGCAGTCATCCTTTATCTCACTCCCCGCTCTCTCCCATCCCTCCCCTCCCTCTGCGAGAGCCCATGTTCATGGTGCTGGGTGTGGTGTGGAATACATGTCGTGTGGCGGAGGATAGCTAAGCATAGAAGTCATCCTTCATCTCACTCCCCTCTCTCTCCCATCCCTCCCCGCCCTCTGCGAGAGCCCCTGTTCATGGTGCTGGGGGTGGTGTGGGTGTCATGCGGCGGAGGGAATAGAGGAAGCCGTATCCGTCAATCCCACGCGGCCCCCTTTCTGTCCGCCGCTCCTCCCTCCCCTCTCTATCCCGTCCCTCTCCCTCCTCGTCCAGAGCCACTGTAAAAGGTGCTGCTGGTCACGCGAGTGGCATGCGGCGTAGCGTGCAGGGGGGTGGCTGCAGTGGAAGTTGAGACTCCTCGTACGAGGAGAAGATGGACCCTCGCGCTGGGCGTACGGTGCCCTCTCACTCTGCCTACTATCCCGTCTTTCGCTCTGACTATTTTATCCCCTCTCTCTCCCCTCTCACTCGACCATCGCTCCCCTACCTCAACCAGAGCTCCTGTTCATGGTGCTGGTGGTGGGGTGGGTGTCATGCGGCGGAGTGATAGCTCACCATAGCAGCTATCCTTCCTCTCCCTGCACCCTCTCTCCCATCCCTCCCCCACCTCTTCCAGAGCCCATGTTCATGGTGCTGTTGTTGGTATGGGAGCCATGCAGCGCAGTGATGGCAACAGCCCTCTCTCTCAACCTCTGAATTTCGCCCTTCATTCGGAGGCATCACTCAATTTTACGTTTCCAATCCACCCGTCCGTCATAGGTTCATTTCGCTGTGGGGCGGGACCGGATGTGCCTAGAATGGCCAGATGATGCCATAGACTTCTACCCAACGCTCGAACAGCGCCTTCAGGTTTTGTATCAGGTTATCAGTGAGACGCACATAATTAAGCTGATGCAGCTGCGAGAGGCTATGGAAGACAAAAACATCGTCAACGGCTTCAAACGCGCTTGGACGTCATGGAAGAACGATCGTGGCTTCCACCTCAAGCGCAGTGTGCTTGTAACTTTCGGCAAGAATGTGCAAGGCTTGCGTGCAGCCGATCTCTGGATGGGCACCAAGAAGAAGAAGATGTGGAGAAAATACCAACCGAGTGAGAACGCGCGTTTCTGTTTTACTTCACCATTCATTTCATCTGCTCGTGCACCCCTCGTGACGATGATGAACAACTTACCCTAATGCATCCCCACTGTGGCACGCAACTACATACCTGCTCTCCTTGCCCAGGCTTGTAGCGCATGTGCAGTCACATCCGCATGACAGCTTAACGTTGGTTCTTCTCCCACTCTCCCCTTCTCCCGCCCCCCCTTTAATCTACAGCTCTCCCCTTCCCTCCCGCCATCCCGTTCTCTCCCTCCCTCCATTTCTCTTCAGCCCTCCCCTTCTCTCCCGCCCTCCATGTCTCTCCTGCCCTCCCCCTCTCCCCTGCCCTCCCCTTCTCTCCCGCCCTTCCCTGCTCTACTGCCCTCCAGCCAACCCTCCATTCATTCTATACCGCCCTCCACTTCGTCCATACCCTTTGGACAACCCCTAACCATGTCGTGCATGATCTTCGTCCCCGCCTTGTCCTGCGTGCGCGCAGGAGGGAATCAGCGGGTCGGCTCGTGGGGAAACAGCAGAGACGGGCTCCCGTTTGCCAACGGCCGGTTTGTAGATGCGGTCCGGGAAGCATTTCAGAATCTCTGTGTCGGGCGCCGGGTGTGCGTCAAAGCCTACCACATTGCCTGGTCAATCATGGTGGTAAGGCATTATTGCTCTCCCGTCAGTTCGCTCTAGCTTTGCTTGCAATTCTTGCCCGCCAGACTGGAATGTGGGGCTATTTGCGCAGCCCGTGAACTCTACTCCGTCAGTGTCCACATATGTCTCTATTTCCCCTCTTTCCCATACTTTGCTACGCTTTTTCAGATTGACCAGGGCTTGGCAAAGGTTAAGAAGACCGACTGGAACGTCTCGAACTCCCACCGCAAGAACACCGAGTGGATGACGGGTTTGCACCGAAATGTGCAGTGGATTATCAAGGACCACTTCACACGCCACACCCCCGTGTACAACACAGTCGTGCAGGGCTTCAAGTGGGGCGACCGTGGCCTGTATGTTCACGAGTCAGGATTTGAGGCGTTCAAGGGGAAGGCCGTGCCTGACGAGGAGAAGAAGGACTTGAAGGAGGAAGAGCAGGAGGTGTACGACGCGGAGGACTTGAAGACGGATGACGAGGAGGATGACGAGGATCAGGAGGAGGAGGAGGAGGAGGAGGAGGAGGAGGAGGAGGAGGAGGAGGAGGAGGAGGAGGAGGAGGAGAAGGAGGAGGAGGATGAGGAGGAGGAGGAACAGTGGGGGCAGGAGCGGAGGAAGAGCAAAAGGCACAAGAGATGCAAAAGCAGGGGAGGCAAGAGGGATGAGCAAGAGGATGAGGATGAGGAAGAGGAGGAGGAGGATGTGGAACGGGGGGGGCGGGAGCTTAGGAAGGGCAGAAGGCAGAAGAGAGGGAAAATCAAAGGAAGCAAGGGGGAAGAGGAAGAGGATGAGGAGGAGGAGGAGGGGGAGCAGGCGGATGAAAATCATAGGGGGCAGGAGAGGAGGAAGGGCAGAAAGCCCAAAAGAGGCGGAGGCAAGGGAAGCAGGAGGGAAGAGGTAGAGGAGGAAGAAGTGGAAGAGGAGGAAGAGGATGAGGATGAGGATGAGAAGGGGGGGGGCCAGGAGCGAAGGAGGGGCAAAAGACACAAGAGTGGCAAACGCCGGGGAGGCAAGAGGGTCAAGCGATGGGGCGACTAAACAAGGGGGGCAGCAGATGAGGCATGAGTGGAGTTTACAAGGGGGGGCAGCAGGATAGGCATCACACACTTGCGAGGAGACATCAAAACGGAGGTAGAGGCATTGGTGGAGACAGCTAGGGGGGCAGCACGCCAGGCAAGAAAGTAGAGTCAGCATGGGGAGTAGCACGGGCGGCAAAAGCGTGGAGTCAGCAAGGGGGGCAGCAGTAGAGACAATGTGAGGAGTGTCCAAGGGTGGGCAACCAGCAAGGCAACCAGATAGTGCAAGAGGGTGCAGCAGAAAAGGCATGAGTTGAGAGAGTTGGGGGGGCAGCAGAAAAGGCACAAGCAGATAGAGGGGAGTGCACAAGGGGGGCAGCAGGTTAGGCATGACTGGAGCAAGCAGCAGTAAAGGCATGACTGGGGAGCGCCAGGGGCGGAGCAGCAGACGCATGAGAGGGCAGAGCATGCAATGAAGCAGTGGACGCAGGGGCAAGGTCAACCTAGAGCACCAAAGATGGGGTTCGGTGGAAGACATAGTGTACTGGAGCATGCTAAGCAGGTCGTAGGATGATGCAGCTCAACCTAACTGACTAGGCACAGAGGGTTTAGGATGCTGTTTTATGTGCGTTTTTAGGGTGGAATTATCAGCTTTTACCAAAGCTTCTGTATTGTTCATTTGTAATGCAAGATTGAGGCAACTTAACATAGTTTTAAATTACATATAAGGTCGTGCAAGTCTCCTACATAAACTTATTTTAATGAACCCGAAATCCCATAAAGAGTACATTGCAATGAGATCCGATCTTCGAAATTGCTCTGCGGAAACTTGTACCAAACTTCTTTCGAAGGTGTTCACCTGGCAGGTTTGAACTGAAAAGCATTGGAGAAGCATTTGAAAAGCGTTCAAGAAAGCATTTGGAAAGCAACCTATACTTTCTCATAAAAGCGTTCGAAAAACGTCGTTCATGAATCATTCGACAAAACTCCAAAGCAACTTTTTTCATCGGTTTTCCGGATGCAGGATTTTTGTGATGTGGTCTACACTCTATCAAGATGGTCTCGTCCCATATTATCTTCTGCCAAGATCTCCACCTCGTAAACTAAGGAAAAAAAAAAAAAACTCGTCCGCTTAAGATGGCAATACCTTGTGCTTCAACATCACTTGTCGACTTAGTCCCTTCACCAAGGTCAGCTTATTCCAACTATCATCAGTATAAGATGCCGTCGAAGGGATATCGCAAGGTTACCACGGAGCCTATGGTGCCTGACTCAAACACACTGGTTGACAAGGTGTTGGACTCTGGTGACAAGACAGAAGAGGGGAAGAAGGAATACGAGGCAATTAAACCCGATCATGCCATCAATAACAATGAAGTGGATTCCTTTGGCCTTTGAGTGGAAAGCAGGCTCAAGATGGCATCTGATGACCTAGAAGAAGAGGTCATGGATGACTCAAACGACAAGCTCGATATTGGTTTCTAGGCCGACGAGATCTGCAAGCTGAGACACATAGCCATCCTGCTCGTCCCTTTCATCCTGGCCCAACTTGACTCTGTTGTGTCCACTGTCTGATGATGTCGCTAACACATCAGAGTTCCGGATTTTGCAACTGGCGTACATTGCAAACATCCGCTTTTGCTGACTCCAGGCCTCTTTCTTGTTGGAAGGGGATGCACTAAGCAAATGGCAACACGAGGTGGATTATTAGAGGGTGAACGGCAACGTCACCGGACTCTATTGGTACCACATCGATGACCCGGCCTTCATCAGGGAGAGGCCCTCCAACCCGCTCGCCATGGAGGTCATCTTCACTAATTTTTCATCCTCCGTTGCTCTCGAAGCTCTGCAGTGTCTACTGGCTCACTACAAACTGAAGATCAGCCAACAACCAATCTACAAGGCAGGTATCTGCTTTCAAATAGTTATGCACCCGATCACTCGTGCTGACAAAGATGTCGTTAAAATGCTGGTGGTTCCTAACCGGGGTGGTAAGCTACGCTGGTGTCACACGATCAACGACCCATATGAACCGGAGAAGCACATCCTGATCCACTACCCGTTGCTGTCCTGCAAACTCTGTAATGGTCAGCACGAGGATAAGCACCACAACGCACATGTCACGGACCGGCAACACAACATCCGGAAATGGAACCTGACCTTGGGAAGGGTTTGGAGGATTAACAGTAACTACATTGTATCGCATCTTGTTACCTTATCCCATTCACCTATTGGTCTCATCGATAACCAGCTGATGGCTCTTCGCAGCAGCCTCCTTGCGTGTCAATATACTGGTGCTGCCGATCCTGCAAGACCCTGCAATTGTGCTTACCTCCACCGGCAGCTAGAGAGAGGAGTGGTTATGTACTCAAATGGGCTGCAAGAAGGCGCATGGATCATCCTTCATTGAAGCTATCGATCACATCAGGTCGGCGGACCACCTGATTCACCTCAAGAAGCTAGGCAACGCCACCAAGATTACCCTCAAGAAGGCAAGCCTCAGCCCAGTCAAGAAAGAGTACAAGATCTAGCACTTCATTCGCTCAGCCTATTCTCAGCAGCAACAGCTATAGTGTTCTCAGTTGTCGGAGTAGTTGCCTCACTCGCCCTGTCGAAGCATAGGGGTCACAAGTCTATTGCCCAATGAATCATAAAAACACCCTTACTTGAACTTGAACGTCTTGGGCGACAGAATTAAGCAAGTTCCAGTGTCCGACTAGGCTAGGAAAACGGCCAATTTCATTGTACTGACAGACACTTTATTAATTACTAACCATTCTCACTGGATCTCCTTCACCTTCGCAGCCTCTACACTAAGTAGGGCCGGTGGTATCGCGATCCTCGGTAAGAACCCGCACTTTAGCTTTCGAGACGTGGTCGCGCATTTATCTGGAAAAATCGTGCAAACCTGTGCTCGTGGACACGGTTTCAAAAATACGTTATTAGCAATCTAATTCCCAGCCAACCCATCATCTAGACACACCTTCGTATCTCACACATTAGGTTCAATCATGGACCAGATTCTGCCTTTGTCTCACCTTCTTATAACTAGCGACCTGAATCTAGTTGAGAATTCTCTCAATGACAGATAGTCTAAGCACGGATCCTCGTATGAAAACGATCGGCTTTTCTGCCATTGCAGTGCCTTCCAGATCTCAGACGCCTTCAGGTCCCTGCACCCTTGGAAGAGAGGATTTAGACCACTTTTGGGGCAAAAAATGACAATGACAAGGCCGCCATCGATTCCCCCGCGTAACTTCGAGAGCTTGTTACGTGAAGGTTACTTATCAGTTGGTAACTATGAGAAAGGAACTATAATCCTGAGTTTGTGAAGAAGCAAGGGATATAAATTTTATGTCTACTACACTGATATTTTATCCTCTGCTAGTAGGGTCCCGCTCACTGTTTCAAACACTTATCAAGCTAAGCAACTACCAAGACTTCTGAATGACATCTGAAGCGAGTCTGGTCTGTCATCTCCAACGTGTTTATCCTGGGATTACAACATTCTCAGCTGGAACAATATCTAGAAAGCCCAACAACCTGGTCATGATCCCAAGGCATCGACCTCAGGAATCCAACATTTTGACCAAAAATGCAAATTGAAAGAGAGAGAAAAAGTTCTTAAGGAGGTGGTGCTCAGTCCACAAGCAATGGAAGCCTCACAAGCTTTTCAGTTTCTTCAAGGTTCATCAACATCCGTGCTGCTGCTCCTCTTGTATCATCATCGCACCATGCCTCTTAAGGGCCGCGTGACAAAGACCAACGTGGATGTTGTTCCTCCTATTGACAGCTGGATGGATCAAGACACCGTGCCGATTCCTGCTGGAGGGGAATCTGGGGAGCAGACATCGGCGCATACGGATAATGCGTCGCCTATAATGGCAACAACGGCAACGGTGACGGCAAACGTCGATGCAACGGGGAAAACTGATGTCGCCAGCAGTAGTGGCCTGTCAGTGGAGGAGAAAATTCAGAGACATTAGGCTCGAGCAGCGGAAGTGGAGGAGTTTCTGGAAGACGATTCAGGGAAGGAACGCGATATCGACATTTCTAAGGAAGATGATTTTCACATGCGTTTTACATCGATCTTACTCATTTTGATGGTGTTGTTTCAGGAGATCGCTGCAATCATGTGCCATCCGTCTTCTGATGAAGAAGGTCTAGAGCTCATCGCTGACGGAGAACGCCGACATCACTGCTAACATCCAAGAGATGGTGCCTGGTGATGTGGCCAAGATGCGTTTCTGCCGGCTGCAGATCTCCTTCCTGGTCGAGCGCGACGCACATGACATCAAGTTTTACCTGTTCAAGTACCAGAAGACGAATGGACCGGCGAACAAATGCATCTGGCAGCACACAGGAGATTCCACCTACCTAAGGGAGAAAGCGTCTAATCCGATGGATATTGAGGTGCTCTTCAAACGCGTACCTGCTAACATTGTACCGGATGTGCTGAAGGATCTGCTGGTGCGGTTCAAGCTGAAGATGCAGAAGCAGACTGCCTTCAAGGAAGGGTTTGTTTTTCATCGTGTTGCTCACCCGCTCACCGGAGCCGACACTGACGTGATTAAGGGTTTGGTGGTCCAGCACCCTGGAGATTGCTACTGTTGGTGTCACATTGTTGACAGCTTGATGAAAGTTGGAGCAAAGCTGCTGGTTCACTTCCTTGCACTAACCTGCCATCTTTGCGGTGGACATTATGACATCCATCATTATCTGTTCATCACCAAGAGGCAGAACAATGAAGGGAAGTGGTCTCTGACCCTGGGGAAGGTCCATTGCATCAACGGTAACTGCTTCGTACAGTCTCACTTACCCTTTTTTTATACTTACTAACAATCCATGTTGCACCTCTCGCAAGTGCCTCCCTCTGCACCTCTACTCTAGTCACCCCCATTCTGAAAGACCATGCGATCGCGCTGATATCGACCGGCAGCAACCGAGAGGAATGGATTTGCACGCAAGTGTCTTGCCGGAAAGCGAAAGGAAGGATTTTCCTCAGACCGCATTACCTCTACGACTCACCTGCTGAACCTAGGGAAGCTACGCTCTGCCACCGAAGCCTCCATGGACAAGACCATCCTGAGCAATCTGAAGAAGGACTTTGGGATCTGGGACTGCAGAGTGAGCGTCGCGTATTCCTCGCAATAGCCAGATGGTGTTTAGTTGTTAGCATTGTAACCTTCTTCAGCCTGTGGATGAATAAGGGCTGCAAGCCAGTAATCAAATGAATAACAAAAATTTCCTCTCCTTAGCAGGCCTGAATGTTTATGGCCTAGGTTACAGAACCAAGCAATCCAGACTTACCACTTGGATACGCACAACGACATTCTCATCCTCTTTGACATTAGACTAACAGATGACTACCCTTACTGGAGGTTTAGTGGTTTTTTCCTCGGTCTTAACCACACCACCACAGACAGAGCTGGAGGAGTAGCATAACTCACTCGGAACCCAAACATCTCCCTCAAGCCTATCTCCATCCACCCATCAGGCCGCGTGATAGTTGGTGAAGTTAGCTATCCTGGACTTACCTTTACCCTGTTAGCCACGTATTTCCCTACTGACGCAACCTCTAGAAGCTCTTTCTAGTCATCCGTAAAAGGCCCAGCCATAGACTTAATCCATCCCACCTCGCACGCATAGGAGACCTGAACATAGTAGAAGACCCCACCCTTGACAAAATATCACAGTCCCGGACACCGTTAAAAAATGCCAGATTCATCTCGCGCTGCAGCCATTTCCAACTTTCAGACGCCTTCCGCACGCTTCATCCAAAGAAACTCGAGTACAATTTCTATGCCGCCTCTAAACAAACAAGCTCTAGAACTGATTGAGCCCTAGTCTCTTGCTCCTTGCTCCCTCACCAGGAGGTCGCAGCTCACACGATGCCAGAGGAATTCATCTTAGACCATGCTTTCGCCATTAAAATTGCTTTCACGATCAAGTCAACTTCACTAGGGACCTGGGATAAGGAGACTCCACGCAGCAGCAATCGGAAGGCTGTTGGTGTAAGGGCCTAATAAACTCAAGCTACTAAGACTTAATCAAACTTAAAACCTCTCCTCGGGGTCACCTCCAAGGGTCCTTGGGTGCCTG